AATATATATATATATATATATATTATATATATATATATATATATATATATATATATATATATATATATATATAAGGATCACTCAGACGAGTGGTGGGTTCTTATATCGGTCTCAAGGTGGAGAAATAAAAGACAAAGTTGATAGGCTACTTTATCTATTTTGAAGACGTTTCGCTTTCGAGTTTTGAAAGCATCATCAGTTCATCTAAAAAGTACAATATGAGAACCACACAATCATGGAAACGATGTTAATTGTTACCTTAAAAAGACATGTAGCAGTCAAAGTTATTTACAATAATGTGAATGAAACTTAAGTAAATGGACATAATACGCTGATATTGTATAAACAATCAAGTAACTAACAACATATAGGAACTTATAAAAAATTAGCACAGCAAATGACCATGTGGTCTAAAGTAAATGAAATGTTATTTAATATTAATTAGTGAAAAAGAACCAAGAAAATCATAGACAACTTCCAACTATTTAATGATTATTAAGCTTTGATTTTAACTTTAGGTAGCATTATAAGTGATATTAATAAAAATTTTTAATTTAAAAAAGTAGTGTAAATGAAGTTACCGATCAAAGCCCTACAGCTGTCGCGGAAAAATGGCGTTAGATGAACCAGAACGAACTAAACCGCAAAAAGACAGCCAACCTTGAGGTCAAAATACTTTTGACAGATCAGCAAGGTGGAGGTACCAACCCAAATAATTGGGCGGTCAATTTAAAAGTTTTAATGAGTTTGGATGGCTACCCGGTTGCAAAAGACAAACCAGTGAAAGAAATTGGTATTGTAATAGCAACTCCTCTCATTAATCAGTCTAGACTTACAAACAGGAGATTTTCATTCAACCTCATATATAAGTAATAACGTTAATCATTATGGCTAGATAATCAGCCACAGGTGGTTAACGATAAATTAACTTCCAACAGCCAAGGTTCACACACTTGGAACTGTAGTTTGCAAAGGATTCTATGAATCAATTACAATATTTGTATTATGTTATTTAAGTAAAAAATGTTCACACTAATCTAAGTAATCAGTGTATGAAAACGCAATGTAAGTGGCATATGTTATAATAAGTTAAGTAAGGAATATTTAATTATTTTATTTAATTATTTTATGTATTTTATTTATATGTTATGTATTTTAATTATTTCATGAAAATTGGAAAAAGAGTTCAAGTAGTACACCTTATATGACATTTAATATAGTGAAAAGATCATAAAGCCTAATTCTGCAAAATTAAAGCATGATATATTTGGCTCAAGTTACTTATGTCAGTTCTCTTATTTAAAGCATTAGGATGTTTTAGAATTGAACACATTTCCAAAAACTGTCTTTTAGCTAGATTGCGTTCAGTGGCAATGATCTTAACTTCATTGAAATCCACTTCATGTTTGGTATTTATCGCGTGTTGTGCCAGGGCACAAGTGTGTTTTGATAAATTAATGTCACTACGATGTGAAGTGAGACGACCTTTTAATGATCTACCAGTCTGACCAATGTAACATAAATCGCAATTAGCGCATGGAATTTGATAAATTGTGTTAACTTGTTCCAAAGTGGACAAGGGTGTTTTAGTTTTAGAGAACAAATTTCTAACAGTTTTCGCATTCTTGACAGCAATTTTAACCGGTATGTTATTCTGTTTATACAATTAAATAAGCTTCTCAGTAACTTGAGGAAAATAAGGTAAAGAAGAATAATGGGTGGTAGGATTCTCAAGATCAGTATTATGCAGAACAATGCTATTCATTGAATTATTTGAGATGTTTCTAAGTTGGTCACCATCGGGTATGTCATGAATTGAGGATCCATAGCTGTGTGAATAAAGGTATTTATTTATGATAGAGGAAGGATATGAATTCTCTATTAGAATATTTCTTAATAACTTAAGGGATTCCCTTCGATTAATTGGATGTGTCAATTTATTTAATCTGCAGCTCAAAGCTTTTATAAGGTTTAATTTATATTTCATGGGATGACAGGAATGGTAATTAAGGAACCTATTAGAGGCCATTGGTTTTCTATACCAACTTGTGGTTAGGGTGTTGTCTCCCATTCTAATGACACGCATGTCTAAGAAGGGTATACTATTGGTGGTAGTGTCCTCAAGTTCAACAGTGAACTGTAAATGGGGATCAAACTCATTAAAGAAGGATAAGGTACCCTGAACCTTGTCAGGTGGTAAGGCTAATAATAAATCATCCACATACCTCTTAACAAAAGGGATTTGAAAATCCAAAAGACCTAAACGGTCAGAAACCAAATCATCCAATACAAAGTTAACTGGGATGGGAGAGATTGAGGAACCCATAGGTGTGCCAAATGTTTGAAGGTAAAATTTGTCATCAAAGACCAAGAAATTAGTGTCGAAAAACAAGTTGCAACAGCTCTGCAAATATATCCCAAGAAACAGGGCAGTTAGGTTTAATAGAATTCCAATGATTTTTTAAGGAAGTGATAACACTGGACAGAGGTAAGTTAGTGAAGAGAAAAACCACATCAAAACTTACTAAAATGTAACCTTGTGGTAGTTAAAAATTGTTAATAAATTCACTAAAGTTAAAAGAATCAACAATATTAAAGTCATTGTTGTAATTATATGATTTAGATAGGATGTCTGTTAGAAATTTAGCTATTTTTATATTAGGTGAATTAATAGATGACACAATAGGTCTCATGCTCAACGTAGGTTTATGTATTTTAGGTAGACAATAAAATCTTGTAGCATATCCATCATAATTGTGTAAAGATTTAGCTAAAGGTTGATCTACGATCTTAATATTTTTTAAGTGTGTTATAAATTTATTTATTTTATTTGTGAATTTCGAACAAGGGTTGGTAGAAATTGGTTGATAGTATCTATCATCATCTAACAGTGATTTACTTACACTGAAATATTGATATATTTATTTATATATGGCCAATCTCCTTACAGAGACACTGCTATTGAAATATTTGAAAATGTCAGGAAAGAAGTTTGAGAATAAGGAGACTTGGTGGTGGTCTAACGAAGTTTAAGAGAAAAAAAGATTATATAAACAGTGGCAAGAAAATAGGTCAGAAACAGATCTTTAAAACTATTCAGTCGCCAAAAAGAAGCAAAATTGGCAGTAGAAACAGCTAAAGCAGAAGCGTATATTAATCTATACGATTAACTTGATACCAGAGAAAGGAGAAATCAAGATTTATAAAATAGTAAAACATAGAGCAAAGAAAGCAAAAGATTTTAATTAGATAAGAAAATGGTAAAATAATAATTCACGAAAAGGATATCAAAAAGAGATGGAAAGATACTTTGTCAGATTATTAAATAAAGAATTTTACGACAATCAGTTGAGTTAACGAAGAATGCAATGGTGACCGAAACACCAAACGAAAAAGTGGCTCAAGCAATTCTAAAATAAAGAAAGGAAAAGCATTTGGGCCGGATAATATTCCCGAGGAAGTGTGGAAAGCATTATTAGAGACAGGGACAAATTGGTTAACAGGTTTATTTAATAGAATTATGAAAGTTGAACAAATGCCAGACGAATAGAGAAGCACTGTATTTGTACCTGTTTATAAAAGCCCTATCGGGCTTTAAAACCCTTAAACCCTAAAAACCTTAAAACTCTATCGGGCTACCTCATAGAACGTGGGTGGTTTATAATCAATGATTATAGTTTTGTCATCTTATATACTAAAGCCCTTTTCTTGTCCACCACTTTACTCAAAAACCATATTAGATAATTAAAATATTTTTTCGGAATATGATTAGTATTACGTATGAGATTGTCGAGATATACTTTTGGTACAAAATTTACTTCCGGTGTTGAGATGACCGAAGTTAAAATTTACTTTAAGTTTTAGACCCCACAATGTATATATGGATCGAAAGGTCTCGTCGAGACGAATCTAAATATGTACTTCCGGTTGCGATCCGACACCAGAAGTGACCCGAAACGCGCATAAAACGTCAAGATAGAGCAAATCTGACACCGGATTCGTGATCAGCATGCAAAATTAACTGCTAAATGATATCCATGTCGACATTTGATGAACTAAAAATTGCATTCCGGTTTTGAGGTCGACTTCTGGTTTCGTTTTTATTAAAAAGTAAAAAGTAACAGTTTACATAACTCACGGTGCAAAAGTTTTCAGAAAATGGAGACATTGTAACAAGAAACATTGTTTTCGACGAAATATTTCGTGATATTTAATACACTTTTTACTTGCATTATTATTGATGAATGTTATGTATATTCTTGCTTATATTGTTTGTATTGATCTCTTATTTTTCTCGTAAAATAAAAATTTTATTTAAAAAACTCGAATTCGAGTTGGTCCGCTAGTAAAGTAGTAAGTTAATAGTGTAAATAAGTTTGGTCACATAGTTATGTCAAAGGTTTGACATAAGCAATATTTTCAAAAATTAAATAAGACATCGCAGAAGATACTGCAATATTTATAGCAAACGATTCGGAAAAATACCACTTAAATAATTATGTGAGAAAAACTTATAAAAATAGAAAATACATAGGTACTGTTTTAAAAATTATTTAAAATAAGAAATGTAAAACAAAATATTTCTTGTTGCATTTGTTATTTTATTTTATTTATTTATTGATACTAAGTACCTCGACTATTATGGCATTGTGGTCAGCAATTTGTATTTGTTATTAATGTCCAAAAAAAACATAATTAAATTTGTTATAACAGAGTTATTATAACTATATAAAATATCATACTTACCTACATTTTAACCTATAATGTTTCTGGATTTTAAGTAACTCTTTCATATAATCATCAATAATATTTTCTGTTTGATAGAAATCCAAAAATTCAAACTGTCCATCTAGACAAACATCAATGTGTCTTTGAAGATTCACACATACTTTTAGCAAATGGAAAAATGGATAAACGAAATTCTCGACATCTTCTACAGTTTTAAATGGAGATATATTGTATCCAAGTAGCTGCTGCTCTTTGTTGATCCAGGTTATTTTATGGCGCAGTTCTTTTATTTTTACCAAGTGCGATTTGATTTTAAAAACATAGTCTTTACATCTGAAAATAAAAAGATTTGATTTATACAATTAAATATCTTTTAGTTTTCATAACGGTAAAACATAAAGACGCCAGTCATTTTGTTGTTATTGCGGAGACAAGAGATAGGAAATATCTCTCCGTATATCTTTGTTTTTTCATGTTCTGCATCAAGGATACATTGTTCATACGGATACACGTATATTCATCGCATAAATACCCTCGTACATAGTACAAATCATCACCGCCGTAAAAATAGGGATTATAATATAGACCCCGAGAGATTGGTAAACTCATCACTGGCCTAACTGCACTGGTATAGACCAGAAGCCCCTTTCAAATCTCTAAGATTTCGTAATTTGCCAGAATAAATCTAAAATAGATGTATTAAATGCGAATGAAATTCACTGGTTTTAATTTGGGAATTCCACAAAATTCTATTGATAGCTAACTAAAACTATGTGAAAAAAAAATTCTCCTCATTGACTTTGTTCCTATAACATGGATAATGAACTGCTCATTGATTACGTTTTTAGCAACGAGGACGAAAAATGATAGTTATCCATAATTTCAAATTTCATTGCGAAAGACTAAAATCTAATTGCCATTTGTGAACTTGTGCGACGAAAGGGTATAAGGCTAAATGTTATACAACTAGTGAGTTTATTTTATACCGTATTTTTTAGTTGTTCCGCACTGGTGGCGGATCATTCTGATCAAACAGAAAAAAAAATTAGCTAAATTAAGTTCTTTAAATCCCCTGTACAAGGTGTTTCTTGTAGACTTGGCATAATACTACTTTGTGGCTTTAAGTAGATCTCCATTTCTGATATTACATTTTTAGATTTCTTATTAAACTGTTAAAGTCACACAAATATGCAAAGAACCTATTAAAATATTAAAACTAAAGAAGACTTTATTTTATGGAATAATAAAAATATCAAAGATAAGATCCAGATCCATTAATCAAACTACATTTAAAGCCTGGTTACCCACATATTTAGTGGCTTCAAACATGTACATCCAGATAGCACTGACGATGGAATAGTTATTCCGAAAAAGTTCTGTGATGTAGCCCAATAGGGTTTTTATATGAATATTTCTTTTATAAAAGAAATTTGTTAAATACAATTTTTTGTGATTTATGGTATACAGCCAACTACAGGAATTTAGTTTCCTTGTTAATTTTCAATTAAGTTCCATGTTAAAAGTTTTTATAAGATTAATTTTCTAATTTTTTTGCTGTTTTCACAGGATAATGTTTGTCAAAAACCTATGCAACTGAATTTTCAGATCTCAAAAAAGTTTAGATTGGCAGATACTTCTAATAGGCCACACCGTAAGAAACCCGATATTAATATCTATTTTAAAGCAATTTGCTTAAAATAATTTATGAATTTAGTACATTGCCATATAAACGAGAAATGTAACAGGTAACAGGCAATCTTCCGCATTAGAAACCAGCACCTTGTGGCAAAAATGCTGGTGAGGGTTTACCTATCTGCGGTGATGAGTTTACCTATCTCCAAAGGATACCGATTATCAGTTTACTATATCTAATATTTTATGATCGGAGGATCTAATAATTTTATGAGGGGCTATAAAGTGATGGGTTCGTACACGTCCGTTTATACTATGACCAATTAACTTAATGTATTATATTATCTTTATATTGTCTATTCTGTAAAAGAATAATAATGGGAGCGTTATATGAGGGTAATGGAAACGCTGTCACCAAATGAAATACACAATAGATCCTCAAGGGATGCTAACCCTGCGAGCGGCTGCAAGGAATACTGGTCACACTGGTCTGGAGGGCTGGCTCGTCTTCGTGGATTTACGAGAAGATAAGGGATTTCGGGATAGGGGTAAGGACTCCTCGGTCTCAGGTCCTGTGAAGAGTAGAGGTTATGGGCTTACTTTTGAAGCCGGAGATATGCATACGCAGAATCTCGAGTTCTCCTAGTCTCTAGTGAGTCGGACGGAAGGAACATTAAAAAAAAACCAAATTAGAGTCAACAATATATTGAATCTACCCTGAAGTTACTAATACAATCGTTAACACGTTATTCTGCGCGTCGGGAGACGATGTAGCAAGATAGTGAAGAGTTGACAGATGTACTAATATAATTACACAGGTTAGTATAAGAAATCTGTTACCTTATGTGTATATTAGGGCTTCAACCACGACACGTTCAGTCTTCTGGAACTCGGTCAGTTGAGGGTTGCGAACTTTCGAGCTGCCACAATAACCGGACTACACGCGAATTCTGCCAGAAGATACCCGGCCCCCGGAAAATCACCGACTGTCTCGCGTACTGGACGCTATCGCGTCCGGCGATCACTGCCCTGGGCGGGCAGTTACGGCGCCCCCGTTATCACTACTGATTGACTGACTACTGACTACCAACTACCTGGCGTCCGTCGTTTTTTCTTGTTTTATTGTGGTCGTACTTTCAACGCCGGTTCTAGTACCAAGGTCGTAGGTTCGCTGAGTTGCAGTTTTGGCGTTATGCGCCTATTTGGGTCACGGCTGTTGTTGTTAATAGTTTCGTGCTTTTTATACGTTTAAACAATTATCAAACAATGCCATAACTAGGTCAATTGTTATACTTTGTATAATTTAAATGTATAAGTTAACTGTATTAATTATCCCTTATTTAATTTGGAATATATAATAATTATCTCGAATAATTATTATCTTTTCTATGCTACTTATTATTCCATTATCCCTTTATTCCAACTTCTCACTCACTTGCTACGCTTACATTACATTACTCCCTACGCAAAAAAAGAAAAGGGCCGAGGGGCCTTTTCCTTTTCCAACAATAAATTTATCTATTTACATATTATATTACTTATAATCTACTATATATATTTTTTATATAAGTCCCAATTTATATTTTATCATTTACTGTTTCTTATAGACTATTGTACCGTGGTCAGCGAATGTATCGTGCTGCCCCCGTATTGAACCTATGTGTATGACAAGTTGAGTTAATCTTGTATTAATCTTATTGAAACTTAACAAGTGAAAGAACTTTCCTAACTTATTACAATTGTTTGTGATTACATGTGTCCATTACGACAAGCGTATTCTAACTGTTCTATACGATTGTACTCGCGTTTTGCGTTCACTTTATCGCGTATCCCTGTGGGAATTATCCGCACTTCACTCGCGACGTCTTGGCTGTTTTAATGTCCGTTTGCCAATTCCACGTGTCGAGTTAACTATATTGATGCGTTACTGCTGCTGTCTGCCTCCATTGGTTTGTCCTTGCTGGGTGGTCGTCTCAGGTTGATACTGCTTTGCTTTGTCGCATTATACTTCTGCTACATTGGTCTCTGGTATGTGTTTGCTGCATGTGTACCCTGGCCTGTTCTGCATGAGTTGACTGACGGCGTTAGGTAAGGATGGGGCCATTAGTAATCTGTTTTTTTTTTTTAATTTCTCTCTTTGTTTGGCATCGTCGCAGTACTATGTCTAAGTATAACTTTTCTATTTCTCTTTGGTAGGATTGTTCGGTGTAAAGGAATTTGCTATTGATGTAGGTCATTAGGTCTACGTTTTGAGGTAGGAGTGGCATACTAGGATTTATTTTGTGTTTACTAGGAAATTTATTAGGATTCGGGGGTGTTCAGTTTGCCATACTTCTGTGTTACATATTATAGCCCTTTTGTGTAACGTTAGAGCAAATATGTTTTTATCTTGTTCTACTATTACCAATTCTTCTAGTGATTGTTTATTAGTGATCTTTTCAACGTGCCCTCTGTAAAGTTGTGACAATTGACTTTCACAACTGTTGTCTTTGTATTGTTTCCCAGGTTATTTCGCCTATTGTAGAGTCAAGCAATAGCCTTGATGAATGAGCATGTACCTTTCGTAGTGGATTTCGTTGTCGTCTGTAGAGTGTATCGATCGTAGCGTGTATATTTCAGCATTCTTCTGCTCCTATCTTCTTGATGTAGCTGTCTAGTCCTCCATCGACTATGGACGTGTGGCTGTACATCCCACAGTGAAACATGAGTCTCTCCATCGTGATGAGTCTCTCCAGTGTCACAAATCGCACTGTTATTACTTCCCGAACGGTCGCACTCCCGTAAGCAGACTTTAGTTCGCATTAGTACTTTTTACGCGTAAGTCCAAACGCACCTTAACCTATAAATACATGTATAGCTGCTTATTGCAGACAATTTTAGCGATAGCTTTACATAAATCTGACTTATAAACTAACCTACAGTGTATTGCATATTAGTATGCCTATTGACTATAAACTGATAAATAAATTGATATCTAAACCAATATTAATATGTTAATAATTGGGACTTGTACTTTTTAAATATTTACAATATAATATATCATCTTTCTGTTATATATACACCCTGTATATTAGAGTCATATATTTTTAATTCTCAACTTGTCATCACTTATTGTATATAGTTACGTATGTGTAACGAATTTTCCTTATTTGAAAAATATTTTAATTACTATATTTACTCTTAATAAAGTGTCAGAAATTATTGTAATAATTTCTCACTCTTTCCCAAATCTTTTTAAAATAATTCAAAGGTGAAATTTATTTTGATTTCTCGTCAAACACAATGACCTGTTTTCAGTGTTATGATATTTATGTTTCAAGGCTATTAAATTACGTTTTGCTGAGGGCTGAATTTTTATATACTCACATTGTTGATGAAATTTGATACTGACTGATATAATGAACTCTTGGTGTCTGTTATAAACTACAATATTTATTTTTTTATTTAATTGTTACGTTTTCTAAACTTGACCTTTATTAGTTGTTTATTTACCAGTGGTCTGACTCAATCTTTATACTACTTTCTTAGTTGATAGGAATTAAAGTCTGTCAATCAGTTTTGACATAGCAATAAAGGATTGGCGTATGGTATCTTACCGATCCAGCTCTTACTAATCAACAGCAGCTTAGACCCCTATAAACTTTAAATTAATTTACTTATTTCTCTTTCTTAAAACTTGCTTTTAGTTATGATCTACTATT